GCAGAAGGAGGCCGGAGGGAGGGATCAATGAAGCAAGCGTCCCCAGTCCGTCGTGGTGCTGTTCTCCTGTGAGAGGGCACTCCTCACTTCGGTTCGCTTCTAGGAAGCCAGCTCTGGAGTTGGGCAGAGACCTCATTCTCCTGTGTCTTTCTGCTGCCAAAGTGATGTTGAGGGGCTCAGCCCGCAAGTCCCCTGCTGGAGTGGCTGAGCCTCCTGCCCTGGGCTGGTGGGACCCTGGGGTGACCTGGTGCCACCTGAGGGCCAGCAATGTTCCTTGGGGCTCTCTCCATCCAGCTGCCACTTCTGTGAGGAACAGGCTGATACAGATAGACAGCAGATTACATTCGCATCCTTTTGTGACCACAGAGCCAAGGCAAACCTGTCAAAAACATATCCTGAGGATGGTTATCACTTGGCCTGGACTTCTGCAAAGTACGTGACCCCCAGTGGTACCACTTACTTTGTGCCTCTGTACAGCCATATATGGTGCAGTGTGATAGAGAGTTAGATGCTGTAATTCTTAAATGGTTTTACAGAGAACAAAACCACCAATCTTTTCTGTGGGCTTAAACCTGTATTTTTTTTTTTTTATCATCTTCCTTCCAGCATTCAGAAAGAACTGAAAAATACAGTAAGAAATCCATAGGCTTGTCGAGTTCATCACCTCTCAGCCTCGCTCTTGCCTTGCTGCAAGTCAGTTCAATTGCCAGCACTTCCTTTGCCCAGCAGGAGCGTCTCACCTCGCAGCGCCCCGGGCTTGCCCTTGAAGGCCTCCCTTCACGAGCTTCTTTCTCCAACCCTTCCCAGCGAGCCCTAGAGTCTACACATTGACCAGATATCAGTTTGTTGCCAATGACCAGAGCTTGAGGAGGAAACTGTGCCCTAACCATTGATGATAATTCGTTATGTAAAAGCCACACAGATCAGATTCAAACTTCCCCAATTTCATGGTTGCGTATATCCTCCTCGGTTCAATATCTTCCGCTGCAGCTTTGCAGGCCGTTTCGCTGCTTGCTGCTCCTGCCACAGCCTCCTGCCCTCATCAACAAAGGAGCTTTCCATTATGGTAATTATCCAAATTGATTTTTACATACGTAGGTCAAACGGCAGGGCCCTTTGGGAACAGCCTCCAGTGTGAGGGTGAGGACTAAACACTCCGCTGCCCTCAAGAGGGAACCAGGCCAGCACGGACAGAGCTGTGGCCACCTTGGAGGGCAGGATTCAGGCAGCCGGTGCTCTCCTGGCATCCCAAGCCACAAACCTGGAGGCGAAATTTGGGTGTGAATGTCCACGCTGTGCTAAAAGAAAGCAAAAAAATCCACAAAGTGACGGAATTTATGAGCAAACCCTTGCTGCAAGGAGGCCATAACCAGGGCTGTGTGACTAAGCCATTAGCAACCAATTCAAAGCAGCATTTGCAAAAGCCATCGGTTCAGATCCTCACTCTTAACCAGTTTGGCAACAAATGGAGGTTTCTCAGCTGTCAGGAGACTATCCCAGCCCACAGGACAGATGGATATTTGGGGGCAGTGCATTTTGGGGCTTTGGTCACTCTTGATACAATCTAGTGCTCCAGCTCTAGGGCTAAGATGCTCACATAGGACGTGACCAGGCAGTGCAAAGCCCATAAGGGAGTACGTATACAAATCCTGATAACTCTATTAACTGCAACTACTGTTTTTAAGACACTGTTCCAAAACATGGAAGATGCTTGAAAAGATTTGAATTATGAAACTGTAATGACTTGGTGGTCCAAATGTCAAAGCCTATTTCAATTCTAGAGAAAATACACAGGAAAAAATTACCATGGTAAAAGTTAACTGTAAAAGAAATACACTAATAGCACAAAAACACGCACTGGCGTTGGGACAGAAAGGGCAGGATAATGCTTTAGGATCACAGCACTACGTAACGGTTCATCTTCTGCAAGCTCCTTCACACCTCTTTACTGGGCTTTCTCTCTTTACACTTTCTACAAGAGTTGTACAATACACTAGTTGTGTTTCACTAGAAAGCATTCATCTGTCTGGGAGCAATCCCAAATAAATAAATCTCTTTCCATCTGCCTCAAGGATGGAAAAAAAGGAAGACATTAAAAATCATCAACAACAAAACCAACCTTTCCTGTAGACTTCCCAAAAGTAGATTCCCCAGAGATGCTGGCTCTGCTCAAGCACAAGCAGAAGGTATCCACATTTTCTCTTAATAAGAGAAACTTCGTTTTCTCCACTGCACTTCTGAGGCATCTTCACCGAGATACATAACTTGCTGATTCTCCTGCATTGCACGCTAACTCACTAGTGCATCTGCTAACATTTAACCTTTAGGGGAGACCTCATACATAAACTCCTTGACGGCCTCTGCTCAGAGGATGTGCTAGGTTGAAAAATGTGATTTTCATTAAGATAGCATGGAAGCGTTTGATTTACAGCCTGTTCCACCGTGTAACGTGAACTCAGGCAGGGTGAAAGAGCAGCAGTGCAGACTTTCCCTCTCACAGCAAATTCCCCTCACGGGCTGAGCGGGATTTTTTTCAAAGACCATATCACAGCTGCTCTTGAATTTAGGTAGTTATGTACTTCTTGGGCAAAACCAGCCTGCATGAATCTGTCAAATATCTGGCAGGTCTTCAGGCCTGCTTATTAGAAGGAGAGTCACATAAAGAAATAACTTGGGGAAAGCAGCATGGCTCCACTCCAGCTCCTTAGTGGAAAGGCATAGGACTTTAGTTTGTCCCACTAATAGGCCAAAATGTACAGAATTTGTTAAAATATGCATGGAGTTCAACTGCAGCCACCTGATTCTGAACTTCTCATCAGAGAAGCAAAAAGATAACGTAAAGGAAATAAGCGCACAGATTCAAGCAGAACAAAATGAAGACCCCAACCTGCTGCAGGTCAGAGAAGGTGAGACACCTCTCCTGGGGGCTTCCTATTGACGCTCCATCTATTTCAAGGTGGCCTTCTGGAGAGCTGAGCTGCAAGGTCTTCTACTGAGAAATTTAAATAGGCAGGTGACAAAGTGGGGAGGAGCACTGACAGAAACCCAGGCCCACAACTATATCAATGCTGAAGTTGGTTTGAGAAACCATTCAGATCACAAGCCAAGCAAAGCTGGGGGTCTCTTCTCATCGCTGCACACCTGGGAGCACATCGCAGAAGATGGTGTAATTAATCACAACTTGAATAACAGCAAAGTTGAGGGTGCTAACAATTTAACTCTGCTGCAAGTCCATGACAGTAAAAGAGCTGAAATATTAAACATTTGGAAAAGTGATTCTATGCAAAATTTACTTCAAAGGTAATAATTCAGCTTTCATTATATATAAAAAGGTCTCTATGGCAACTTGATAGCTGTGTTATAATTAAAAATGCATTCGTGCCCATACCTATGACAAATTCCAGGCTTGGAAATTCTATCATCTCCACTGTTGATTGGCAATGTACTTTCTGTACTTGTTACACTTGAATTGTATTCTGCTGCTGCTTTTTTTAAAATTTTTTTTTACAGTTGCATTCATACTACTCACACTGAGACCCAGAGCTCCAGCAAAGAAAATCTGGACTTGATTTTTTCTCATCTCTCCAGTTTGTTCTGCCACAAGTCTATGTGTGCTGAATCCAGTTTCTTGCTGTCACACTGACCTGCTTACGTGGTTTTCTTTTGGGATAGGTTGTTTTAAATGTGATTATCCTGATCCCTTCACATCAATACATATAGTCCATACAGTTTTCACAGCCTCTTGACTTGCATGTTCCTATGAGTCCATCGCTCCTCAGACTACACTGTCATTTTTCCCTCACATTTCCTCATTCAGTTTTTTCTTACTGCTCAAAAATTACCACTATCCTCTTATTATTCCCTGTGGGAAGTGATGCCAAGGTTGATATTTGGATCACTCATGCAAGAGACACTTTGCCCCATACCTGCTGCATCCTCAGCACCCTTCAGCCTCTCGGCGCTCATTCCCACACCCCTACACCCAGACCCTGTCACTGCTCGGAAACCCACTGCAACAGTCACTCCAACTCCCCGTTTTCTTGTATTTTGTCACTGTGTCCTTCAGAAAAGCTAGTGCGATATTGCTGGTGCATATGTCACCCACTGGCACTGCAGCGTGCTCAGAGCCATGCCTGCCACCCTCTCCTTAAGAAAGTGATTCACTTTAAAGAGACTTTCTCTTTTGCTGTTCAGTACTCAACCAGAAATCTGCAATGGTTCCCAAGATAACATGCCCTTCAGCAGGTAGGTTTGAATCCAGCGTTTACATGCAGCTAGCTAAGCACAGAAGGGAAATTTCTTGCACTAGTGAAAATTTTCAGAAAATTTCCCATTTCTGCTTCAGCAGCAACAGTCCTTAGCGGTTGCCATGCCCGGACTCATCTGAAATGTTTGCTAAGCCAGCCTAACGGAGGTGAAGTTTAGTCACATCTGATTAGGGCTGTGGCAGGTTTTGGCCCATCAGGGCTTCCAACGCTGCTCCAGAAAGCAGGAGGCTCCGTGTCCCCGCAGTGGTGAAATAGTCTGGACAGGGGAGCAGGGCAGGCAGGGAAGAGGGCCAGGGTTTCCTCCTGCTATTATCTTTACAGTATCCCAGCATTCATATTGGGACTCTTGATTCATAACAGTATCTGTGTTTTACACAGACTCTTAGACTAGGATTTTCAAAAGAGCTTCAAGTACTTAATAAGCTTAATCAGGTTTGCACTGATGATTATCTTAGAAACCTTTAAGACTCTCACTGTGAGTTCCCCCAGCATGAAGGCGGAAGTTTCTGCTTTTCAGACAGGTTAAGTTAGGTTTGCATAAACATATCAGATACCTGGGAGCCTAAGTGTCCCCTCCTAGTGCAGCTGCATGTGTCACTACCAAGCAAGTTATTCGTATTCAACCAATGACCAACAGGTAGTGGAATGAATAGGAAGCTTGAAGAGGAAGTGTGAAACATAGACTAAAGAGTGCAATGCTGATGGTAATCGTTATGCTGTTCTTCAGAGAGGATGAAGAGCTGCTCACTGCTCGTTGCTATCTTTTTATTTGCAACCGGTGAGTTCTCCTTTGCTGCATAACTTACTACTGTTTATAAATAGTAAAAAAAAAAGCAGCATCACTCAGAGGCAAGTGTGCAGGAATAAAACAGTGACTAGATTACATTCTCTGGATAGAAGCAGCAATCTGTAATATTCCTTGCCATTTCTTTTGCAGCTGTCTTATTAAATTTATCCTCTCTATTCCCCAGATGCTTGCAACTGCTCAAGCTGGGACCTACCGTTTTGCCAGCAGCTTCGAGGTAAGCAAATAATTCTTGTGCCCTAACCATGTAATTGTAATGATGATGACAGCCAGCAGAAATGATTTTGCGGTTAATTTTGATTTCAAGTATTGGTGTACAGTTTTTTGGTGTGAAATGCAGCAGCTCCAGCTGTGAGTTCCTGCCAGGGTCCACAGACCCAGCGCACCTGGCAGCGACGGGGCCGTCGGCTCCGTTTCTGGGGCCGTGGCCGGCCAGCGTCCGGGCCACGAGCTCGCCCCACTCACAGCACTGCCCCCCTGCAGCTGCCAGGGCCACCTGCAAGTGACGAAACTTGTTGGGAATGGAGATTTTTAATTTTTTAGAAAAGAAACATTTCCGGATTTCTGGAGAGAATAAAAGAGCACCAGCGCAGACAGGTCTGGCTGGGTGATGAGAGGGCACTCAGTGCTACGCAGAGGTTATCAGCACAACCCGCTGCTCTGCACCTACTACCATGATTTCGACAGACACTAAAAGCTGTAGTGCTTACAGCTGCCAATTGTTTTCATGTTTCAGATTCAACTCATAAATTACTGGTAATTTATTTTTGAACAAAATGGACTGTGAGGTCTCCAGAGCAGGCGAAGGGGAATGCTCCGTGTGCACAGCTCCAGGATCACAGCCCTACTATAAAACTAACAGTGATCTAAAGCTTGGGAAAACTAAATAATACCTCATTCCTTTAAAGGGGAGCAATACAGTAAAAGCCAAAGAGACACAATAAAACTGAATGTGCATGTACAAAAGCACAGGACAAATAAGGAACCAGGGTGTAGCACTCATCTTACCCAAGATAAAATGGTAAGATTACCATACAGGTAAGATAAATCTGACCTGAAGAGTGCAACAGGAAATATGGGCAGGGGAGAGTTGCCATCCCTAAAATCTACTATTGTTCATCTAGTACTACTGGTGTGGCACCATTTCCCAAAAGGGTTGGTTTCCAGGAGTTTTCCCAAAAGAAAACGAAAGAAAACCCAAGGAAATGAAAGGCTGGATTGAGATTAAGAACAGAGGAGGATGCAAGAGTGCCCAGGGTGTGGGTGGCCAATACTCGGTTTGGTCAGATGCAGAAAGAAAAGAATTTAACAATTGTTCACGTTGTCATAGAAACAAGGAAGAACAGGTCCCCACGGTGGCAAGAGGAAGCTGCACACACCTAAACTGAGGCATTAGCTCAGTAGAGAAGCATTGCTCCAGTGGGAGGAAGGAGGTATCTCGGGGGAGAGCGCGCTGTCTCCCCCATAAGAAGTCTGACTGAAGCCAGACTCATCTGACATATATTTTTGTCCCTATGCACATCAAAATAAACATACATTTGCCATAGGAATAATGAAAGGGACTCAGGTCATGGGAAGAAGTGGCCCTGAGCCAGGCAAGGACAACTGACCTTTTATCTCCTGAGTCCTAGATGAATCTCTGACCCACAGCCATAGTGCAAGCCCAGCTCCAGAGATGTTCCTGTATGCTTTCCAAATAGCAAAAATATTTCTTATTCGAGATTGATAAGGCTGTTGGCAACTTGCTAAACCTTTTACACATAAGGAACGTGTGACTGTACTCATCAGGAAACGTTCATTTTTTTATCACCTTTAAGTATCATGTACATTTCAAAATCCTTATCTACATCTCCACAGAGAAAAAAAACCCTACCCTACTTTTTTTCTTTTCTTTTTTTTTTCTTTTTTTTTTCTTTTTTAAAGTGTGGGTGGTACTTAGAGACATAATAACAGATAATTCTGAATTAATAGTTCTGGCAGTAAGACGAAAAGCAAAAAGGAGAAAAAAAAAGTTGTATTTTATGACTAAAGATTCTGGTGAAAAATTTCAGAAAGACTGAAACTAGCTTAACCACTACAGGTGAAAAGTTTAGTTCCCTCAGGAGTTTAATTTCCCTTCCACTTGAAAATATATATGTTTAATTGCAAAAAAATATATATTTTTTCATTACAGAAAGGTAAGAGCCATTTTGCATCTAAACTTACTCTCCAGCTGCTTCATAATGTGCCTGGTGTAAAGCTGGTGGCACAGGCAGGTGACTGTCATTAGCAATGGTCTGTTATTGGGAGCAGACCATTGGGTCTGTTATGGTCTGACCATTGGGAACAGCCTGTTATTGGGAACCCCGCTGGAGATGGCCGCTGTTTTGGAGAAGCCCTGCAGTCCAGTCAAGCAGTCCACAGTTTGGAAAACAAAACAAAAATTACAGAGAGAAGCAGCAAGCAAGGTGTCACTACTACAAGAGAGAAATGGTGCGAATGTGCAATGACAGCAAAACTATAGGAAACCATAGGAAAGCGATGGAAACACATTTCAGCACCACATAATAATGAGTAATGGAACACTCAAACACAGGGGAAAATGTCCTTTTTTTACATACATCTAGTTTTATATCAAACTAGGTTTGATTTGGGCACGTTAGGACTGGTAACCTCTAATTTCTCTAAATGCTTCTGTCCCTTGTTCTAAGCATTAACAAATGTAAACCCAGGGCAAACCTGATATAAATGGTGATACATATAATGGAGCCAGTATTTATTTGCTTGTGCAGGAGCGTTTGGCTGTTTCACATTTGTTCGTCTCTTTGCCGTAGCAGTCGCCTTGCCCCTGTCAATGGCAGGGGGTTGCCTATTACAGGTCTTCTCCAATCCACATGTTTTCATCTTGCAGACTGGGACAACGAATTGCTGTGCTACAAAGAAGTGAGTGAGGACCTGACGTGTACCTGGCTGTCAGTGCCCAGCGCTCCAAATACTCTTACTTACACGTTAACCTTAAAATGGTAAGTCTAAATGTCGCTTCAGGGGTGAAAAGCTGTCACTGCAGTTTGGCAGGATTCCCACCTGCTTGAGTTATCCAGATCTATTTGCCATGCTGCTGTTACACCATAACTGTGAAAAATCTTTCCTCAGACCTCCCAGCTGCCCACCTGGTGCAAGCTGCACTTTACAAACTGCAAGAGAAACTGCAGAAAACTGAACAGCACCCGGAGTGCAAAACCAGGCCTTTGGTTAGCAGACAGAGCAGAAAGCACAGAATCACAGAGTGGCTGAGGTTGGAAAGGGATCCAGGCTTGGATCATCTAGTCCAACCACTAGAGATTATCTAGTCCAACCCCCCTGCTCCAGCAGGGGCAGACACCTAGAGCACAGGGTAGTATCCAGGCAGGTTTTGAAGACCTCCAGAGAAGGAGGCTCCACAACCTCCCTGTTCCACCCTGTGCCAGGGCTCTGACACCCTCACAGTAAAGAAGTTCTTCCTCATGAAAAGGATTTATAGAAAACTCTGGAATAGGTGCCCAGACTCAGGAATCACTCTGTGTAACCTGAGGAAGAGTAGCTCATCGCTTCCTAGTTCCTGAGAAAGGCCTGGCAAAGCTCCCCAGGACCTAAGAGGGAGGGCTTCAAGAGGAGCAACTGTATCTGCGCCTTGCACCAATTCATTAAGCTTTGACTAGCTGTAAACCCCATCACCCCTGCCAGTCTTAAGAAAGAGATAACAGAGCAAATGTGCAAATAAATGAGTGGCTGTTGTGGCAAGGAAGGAAATGAGGTCAGTCAACCTGCAGTTCTCTTCACTAGCTACTGAAGATCATGGAAAAGATCTTGTAAGAAGATCCCTCAGCAAAACATACCTATCTGAGAAACTATTTTTTCTTTTGATATTTTCCTAGAGCTTCATACATCTTGCCACACTTCCAGCACATATGTTTAAAATACTACTTTCCAGATATCACTTTACTCAATTATTTTTCTCTACTTTTATTGATTCATATTGAGTATTCTCCATTCTAATGCATTTCAAGTAAAAACATGTTAAGCTGATTTTCATTATATATTAAATATTACTCAATACCTGTATCCGGGAAGGTTTCAACCATGGCAGATACTGCACATCTAAATTAACGAATATTCATTTAATAGATGATGAATATCCATGATGATAATAATGAACTTGTATGTGTTAACCTTAAACTGATATTCTTAAAACATAGATATCTTTAATTGCTTCGTTAACTGCGGAAGTTAAAACAAAGAACCCATGTGAAGCAGAGACGGGCAGATTAAATCAACATCTGCCCACTGGGTAGTTAAAATGATGAGGCAGGTTGCTGGCTCCCTACCTGCACTACAAAAGGGATTTTCCTTATTTGATTACCTACAGATACAGGATCTCCTGTGACTTTAAGAGTACGTTTAAAAAGAGCAAACAAAGATCAGAAGGTAAAAATCTTTGTCTTTAGGCTACCGAACGGGGTACTCCACTGGAAAATTATGATGCTCATTACTGACTGCTTTGCCACATAGCACCCGCCACAGAGTGGGGCTTCCACTGGCACCAGGTACAAACTTGCTGCCCTGCCACCTCCAACGTCAAAATCCTGATTTCTTGCTCGGGCAGAAGCCCCTGGGGAGCAGCTCTGCTCTCTGGAGATGCTCTCAGCCGAAGCACCCGTTGCTCCCCAAGCCCCCTGCCAAACGCAGCCCGTGCTACTCCTGAGCTGCAGAGCTCTCCTGAAGAACTGCAGGGAGGGCAGAGAAAAAGCAAAAGAGAAGGTGGGTGCAGGGGGAGGGAGCTGCATCACACAGCTGCTCATTTTCCCAAAGCACAGGCACGACTCTCCCTTTTCATCAGGTTGAGAGAGAAACAACAGAGCAAGGAAAGAGCCCAAGGAACATCAGTGCACAAGTGAAATTGTTCCCTATGATTTAGTTGTCAGGAAGCAAAGGCTCAGAGAGGAGCCCTCCTACGGCGATGCTCTAGGCAGGTGCTCCGAGCAGGCGTGGCGCTGAAGGCACACGGAGCTTTTCTTTTCAGTTATTAAAAACTGTACCATGAATAGCACATCCAATACTTGAAAAGACATGAGGAGACAATAACTACACCTCTTATTAAAAACACACACCATTCTTTCCCAAGGACCCTGAAGTGGCCTGGTTTGAGCCTCACAAAACCTGCCCCTGCAAAACCTTTGCAAAAACTACCCCGAAGCGGGTAAAGCAGAGAAAATGGACTGAGCAGGATATTTGTCCAGGAGGCCTAACTTCCAATAACCCCAAGGCTTAATAACCTGGATAACCTTCCCAGATGAATGTTGTAACTATGAACTCAGAGCAACCAGCCTCCCGGCACCAGCACCCACTGCTTGTGCATGGGAACAAGGATGAGCTGGGACCTTCTGCACTGTGCGGACTGCACAGTCGCCTGTAAAGGGGCAGGCTCCAGCCATGAGCTCTGAGACACCTTGGCCTGCAAAGCATCAGCATTTCCACCAGACAGGCACCTAGCCCACGAGTGCAGACATTCCCACACCTTTGGGCTGGTTTGTATTGAGGCAACTGGGAAATTTGCCATTCAAAATGAATGTAGGTGCCTCTGTGGTAGGTGGCTAATAGCTGTAGAATTAATTCCTAACCTAATTCTGTGCCTTTCAAAGGAGGCATTTTAAATGCCCAAAAAAACACTACACATAACATTTTGCCTTGTATTTCTCTGTACCTTATAAGATTAAAGAATTTAGTAGTTCTCTACCATATAACAAGGCAAGTTATGTGTATATATAAGTACAAATTAGCTAGAACTACTGGACTGTTATAATTGCATTCACTATTTCAAGCTGTGAGCTTGAACATTTGAACAGGAGCTGGTCTTCAAGAGTACCGAAAGCTGAGTTTTGTGGATAGGTACCTGGAAGCCTATTAATTGCTATAATGACATTTTTTGGGGGGGGGAAAAAAACAGTATGTGATAATCCAGTCAAATGTTTTTTCTTTCTGATTCCCTTTCTCTGAAGGGAAAGGATCACAAAACTTTTGCAAAGAAACACATCCTCGCCTTTCATCACGATAGAGCGGAAGAATCTTTACATGAGCCGCTCCGCATCTATTTGGATAGTTGTGAATTACGCCCAGGAGAGCTGTTTCATAGGAAGGAACATCTCAGTTACACCAAGCAAAGCAGGTACAGACCTTCACCCTTTGTGTTGCTGCAACCCTAGCTGAAGCAGTGACAGGATTCTGGTAAAGATTGTTTCTTTGTGAGAGACTAGCAAGTCTATCAGCAGAAGTCTCTCAGTTTTTATGGCAGAAGGATTCTGCTTTAAATCACTTGCTAGACTATAAAGAACTTATATCCAGAAAATCATATAGAAATACATGTGTGCAATACTGAACCAGCTTTCTCTATTCTCTTTGACGTTATTTTTGAGCTTCATTATTGATTTACAAAGAGCAGGTTGACTCAGAAGCTGCATTTAAGGAATCCTCGTTATAGAACATCAGCATTTTTAGAAAACACTTTAAATTTATCCATTTTATAAGACCACGCGCCCATTATATAGCGATGCAGAGGAAATTCTGAAAAAGAATCATTCATTTTAGATGTTTATTCAGAGATTCTGCATAGTAACCAAGCACTGCAATAACTTCAAGAGCTTTGCAAAATGTGGCCTTCTCAGAGTTCTCGACATACTGATTCTGCTTTTCAAGTTTACTTAGAAAAACATCTGCTTACAAAGGAAGGTCTCCTTGAAATCAGTAGAAGCATCCAAATAACAAAGACGAGAGACAACTCCATTCTACTGATGCCATAAAGATTTAACGATTATTTCTTTCCAACCTTTTAAAAGCCTCTCAGTGTTCAGTATTCTGAGCCAAGTCTTCTAATTTCCCTTCAACAAAACACACCTGAGAGCCAGTTGCCAAAGCTTTCCTGCTGTACTTGTGTCGATAACATCTGCCTGTTCCTTGTTCCAGAGAGGTGCCTGACACCGTCTAACATAAACGCTCACCAGATCACAAATCAAGTGATGATAAATTGGGACCTGCCTGTCACTCCTACAAAATACGAGCTGAGATACAAAGAAGCACTCCCAGACTCTGCTCCGTGGACCTTGGTAAGTAGTTCCAGGTGACAGTTGCTTGAGAATGTGAAGGGACTTACCAGTAATACACGGGACATGTGGCGGGACATAATCAGGATGCTACCGAAGAGCCCACATAACATGTAGATAGCAAAGCAGCAGGGAACATGCAGAGGCTGTAGCTTCATCACACAAAGGCCTCCTGTTAGTCTTGCTCTGATAAACTCTAAACTGGGCAAGAAGACAAATAGGTTTATACAGGAGAGACACAAGAATGCTAGAGCAGCTGGTTCCATGCAGGGAGACACTGTAAGCATCAACACGACAAAACCTGGAGATCCACAAAGGGTAACAGAAATGCCACATAAACCTAAGTCTTGAAAACATTTCCTTAAGGACTATTCTTTTTTGCTGGCAACATTAGATTTTCAAACAGGCTAGAGAGCAGGTTGCTGCAACATTTAGGTAAGAAAGCACACCTACTATGTTCTTGTTTTGCACCATTTTTTTTCTTTGACAAGGCCCATAATCTGCTGCTGATCAGTTACAGGTGCACAACAGGAGGTAAAACAGTGAAAATACTATTCAATCTCTGCGTTAGCTGTGTTGGAATACGGAATATAAAAGTATCAGCCAGGGACCCCAGGGAAGAAATGGTCTAAAACGCATCTGTTTCCACTCCTTCAGCATCTGTGTTCTTTCAGGAGTCTCTCTGCTTCTTTTACAGTCCTTCCCCGTTATAGCAGAAGCCTGTGATCTGTCTCCTGTAGCTGTTTGCTGCTTTGTTTAACCTCTTAAGGAGGATTGGTATTTAGGACTATTCAGAGCTCTGCATAAGAAAGGTTTTGTCTCGGTAGGAAGAATGCGCAACCCTTGGAAGAGTCTCTGTTCAGTGACACAAACCCTAGGCTCTTCTATGACATCCAGAAATTCATGCCCTCTCCTCCTGGCAGTGCAGTAGAATATATTAGTCTGCACACAGCTATCATAGGGAAGAATAGAGAGCTAAGAACAGTAAACAAGAGGAGGAGGCACTACAGGGTGTTCTGGAGATGCGAGAGATTCATGACACGTTCAAGTGAGGAACGTGAAGGAGCAGAAGAGATAGCCACGTGCGGGATGAGAAGGCGCGTGGGCTCTGCGACCGCACATCACTGCTACCCATCATGTCCCAGCTGACTCGGAGCTGGTGCTGAGCTCTTCATCACATACATGAAGTCTGACTTTGTACATAGGCTTGGGGAAAAAGGGTGACTGGACACACAGGCACAGAGGAGATGTAAAACTAGCTGAGCAAGGGCAAGCACTTACCAAGAACAAGACTGTAGAGCACTTGGGATCCTACCTCCAACTTGCTTCACGCATGTTTTTTACAAGTCAGTCAAAAGGATTTATAGTCTTTCTGTGATACTGCGTGGATTTTTTTAATTGTAACCACACTACTCTTAAAATAAATATAAAATAAAAATAATGTAAATAAAGTAATAAAAATACATTAAGATAATTACAGCCTAATTACAATCTATATAAAAACAGATTTTTGCATAGAAACAAAGAGCTGACAACATAATAGCATCTGTTTCTCGTTTTAAAAAATATTTTTAGCAAACAAAACTTCCCAGCAGACAAATATTAAAACAAATATTTCCATTTGCAATAGCATTTCTGACAAAATAACAGACAGAATGGGACAGAACACAGGTAATGTGTTCAGATAGTGCCAAAAATGAATGGCTAGGGAAGAATATAATACAGCGCAAGCATAGCAGTACTGCTCTGATATTTTCTCAGCTTCCTACAGTTTTCAGAGAGGGGCAATCTCTCTGTAGAAAAAAAATCTACTTCCCCACAGAGTCACTGAAGTGCTAATACCGTCCTCAGTTGCAGAGACACAATAATCTGGAGGAGCTAAGGCAGAGGCACCCGCACACTCAGGCCAGCCCTTCTCGGAACTGGCCCGACGGCCCTGTGCAGACACAGCACATTTGGTTGCACACACTGCACACCACTTCATTCAACCTTGACATCTTGTTCTTTAGAACGCCAGCAAGGACCTCAGTTATGTAAGCAATGATTGTTTCAGCAGATTAATGTCTAACTGTTTTTAAAAGCCATGTTTAGGTCTAGGCTATCGTTGACATGCTAGATAGGCTGTATTTAGGAAAAACAAGCAGAGAAACTGCCTTTAAAGAATGAAAAGGAATTAGACTAAGCCTGCAGTCATTCCCTTCTGAGGGTAGGAACTCCTCCTTCCTACTGTAGTCCTAGGACTGGTCCTTGACTCAGAACGCAGTTAATGTAAGATTATGTTTTGTTGCTGCCACACATAAAAAATGTAATTTGTTTTCAGGTGACCATAGAAAGCAATGCTGTCAATACCACCGTTTCAAACTTAAATGTTACATCTTCATACATCATTCAGCTCAGATGCAGAGCCAGGGCAGATGGACAGCCAAGACATCACTGTGTCTGTGCTTGGAGCAGAGAAATTTTGGTCCCTCACAGTAAGTGAAATACAGTTTTGGTGTTCTGGAGCATGAATGTAAATGCCTTTTCAAATTTTGTATCATATGAAACAGGGTTGTCAGACACCGTTGAAAATATGAAGCTCAAATTGATTCATACGAGTGCATATCTCCATCTTTTTCATCTTTACCAGAGCTCACTAACAAGCCAACACTATCATATAACACAACTACAGAAATCTCTCCAGGCAGAAGACGTGTTCTTCTTAAATGGGAGGTAACGTTCACCTTGGCATTCTCTTATATCTGTACTACTAAGTCATTACTTCACAGAAATAATTAAAATACTTTGATGTTGTTTCGGGGACTCTATTGTACAAACAAAACACATGGAATATTGTACTTTTCTTTCCAGATACACTAAATGTATAGAGGGGTATTTTGGGGACAATAGACTAATAAGAAAAAAATATACCAATTTATAAACTTGAAAAATTATTCAAGCAGCAATTTCAAAACTCAAATCACTGATTCGAATAAAGATTCTTTTCTGCTTACATTAAAAATTGGTGTGTCTCAGGTTCATCTTTTAGAATTAAGCTTGCCTATACAAGTAACAGGCTGCATTTCACATGTTCCTAAGAATCATTCCTATTCTCAGGAGACCAAAATTTTTGCAGAAAATCATGCAGGAAAGATGCTACTTTACAAATTCAGAGATGCATTCTAGTCAGGAAGGAAAGAGAGCCACTGACTTACATGAACACCAACATTTAGCTCCATGTTTCCTGTAATGACATTTTAGGTCCAAACCTCCAAGGCAGAAGCATCCCGTCCTCTGCAACACGTGTCACTATCAGCTCACTCGCTACTACACAGTGGTCAGCTTTACCCGATGAAAACCATTTGAACATTGTCCTGGTAAAAAACAGACAATCAACAGTCTTGCATTTATACTCACAGGTAGCTTTGGTATCAGAGGCAGAAAAGACTGAGACTAGCAGAGTTTTGAAAATTCAGAAGATGGGGAAAATTTTGCAGTTACCCCTGTTTTTTGTTTAGAAAGAAGAAAAGAGAAAGAGAGAGAGAGAGAGAGAGAGAGAGAGAGAGAGAGAGAGAGAGAGAGAGAGAGAGAGAGAGAGAGAGAGAGAGAGAGANAGAGAGAGAGAGAGAGAGAGAGAGAGAGAGAGAGAGAGAGAGAACAGAGGATAAGGATGATATATCCCCCTTATTCCCTTGTCTGCTGATAAGAAGGCAAAGCTGCACAATAAATAATTCATCTGAGGATAAAGCAATAGATTGCATATGCCAATTTAAAAGTTAAGCTAAAGAAAGAAATTATTCTCCATCCAAGTGCTTTTGTTAAAAGTACATATATTAAATATAGGATCAGGGCTAGGAACTTCATTCAAGAAAACACTTGTACTAGCTAAATAAGGTTCAAGTCCAGAGGGCTTCAGTAAACACTGAAAAGGAAAAAGGAAAGGGTGTGCTTAATTATTAACATATTATAGGGAGGGGAAAAAAAGGGGGGCTCCACTGTCCTACCTTGTTTAGGCCAATGTGAAGTACCATAACATTATTCTCCAGGCAACTTCACCAAAGCTTCAAAAAATGTACCAGTTCTTCCCTTCTCACCCTGGAAAATACTTCTGTTGCTTCAGATTTAGGAGCTTCTAACTTTAGCAAAAGCTCATGCCCACATACATGTCTTTTCCTTTTGAATTATTGAATATCATCCCATCTACGCTGTTGCAAAGGTATCAATTCCTTCATTAAGATAACCCAGCCTTCCTCCTAGCTTTGTGTCTTCTGACTATTACTTTTTGTGCCAAGGCCAGCAAAGAAATAACAGAGTCTGGTCTCAGAAACAATCCTAGCAGAATTCCCAGACCTAGGTCTACATAGTGAATTAAGTTTCCATCCAGATTGCAACAGCTTTCATTTCCATGCCCTCCCTTTCCAATCATGGAATTAATACATTGAAAAAAGAACAGGGCAGAGACTACTAAAAATCAATGGAGATATAAGCTGTTCTAACATGGTAGTGTAATTGCTAGCATTTATCCTCCAAGAGAGCAGCTGCCTAGCAGAGTCCAGTAGATGAAGATTCTCAGAGACATAACCTGCAATTAAACACCTCTCATTAACTTTCAAGTTCCTAATGATGAGGGATATGTTCCAGGGAATGCTACAGCTGCCTCACTGCTGTTATTACTAATTGGATACACATAACTAAGATCTCAATTAAGCAAAACATTTAATCCTGTGCTTAAATCCGCTCAATTTAAATGGGATTTAAGTGTGTTCTTAATGTGAGTAAATGTAAGTGTGTGGCTTCATTGATTCCCGCTAGCCTAAATAAAATAGTATGATTTTATCTCCAACACTAAAGGTGACATTTTGGTTATATAACTTCATCGCTCTTCATTTTCTACACAGGACATAGTAACATTGCTCACTGATAATCTTTTTCCCCTTTAGGTAGCACAAAGCAGGAATGTCCTTGGATACTACGTTAATGTACAAAGAGTACCCAACAACTGCAGGCATCTACCAAAACGCCTCGTTCTAAAGCACCAAGAAATTCTTCTGAATCTCTCTATGGCTTATTATACAATTAATATTTCTGCCTATAACCAAGCAGGAGAATCTCCACAAACTACTTACATTGTCCCGGATTTCTATACAACAGGTACTTTTACTCATTTTGCATTCGAGAAGTTTTAAGGAGCAAGCTTCACACTTCCTTGACAGTGTTTGGGCTGGGACAACCATTCCCTTGAATGCTTAACTAAGCTCCTATTTTTGTATGGTGAGATCGGTATTGTTTCTTAGGCAAGGATTTCTATTGAAATGAACAGACAACGAGTTTAACATTGCTTGCAGAGCCTCTTTTTTTCTCAGACCAGAGGAACAAATGTTAGACTGGCTTGCAGAGCACACACAAAGTTGAACAGATGTCAGTAGCTTAAACAAAGTTCTCTGGATTATCTGCATATCTAATTTTTCAGTTCAGCAACTTTGATTTTGTGATTACCCCTACTGGCACCTGGGAGGGGGAACTGTAGAAGGTATTTATCATATTCCATTGATGATGGTAAGGTTTTGTGATGCCTAAATACCCAGGTTTTTCATTTCAACAAAATATAACAATGTTTCTTTTTATATTTAAAATAATTTCATTTGCTATAATCTTCTACAGAAAAAGAGCAAAAAAGCTTTAGCTATTGTACTGTAAGAAAGACTCTTCTGTGGTAAGATTCCTTTAAAAAAAAAAATGGAACAATACAATATGCATAAGTAAGTCAACGTGTAAGTACCAATGTTGATCTCCAGAAAGCTGCAACTAATTGGTTTTCAAAAACTTTCCAGCCCACTCTCCTCAGCCTACTCTCCTTTGCCCTGCAAATACTTAGTAATTTATTTTGCTTCCTGCATTTGACTGCTTTGGAAGTCTTCTAATAAAATGTATATGGTTACCTCAAGTCATCCTTCAACTGGCAGCTCTTTTTTTTTACTACTTTACTGAATCTAGCAGCTTGTTCTTCATGGATCCCTCCGGGCATTTGTTAAAACAAATGCTTCTACTTATGCATAGAAACCTCTGTATCTATGATGAATTACTGGCATTAAGCGTGTTCCCAAGATAAATTCCTTTGCAATATACAGAATTCTTTCTAATCTAGTACAGCCATTTTCTTTATTTCTACTTTACTACACTGATTTTCAGAGAGGAGATGAAATGGAGAATTGTAGCTGTCTGTTATAAGATTCCTTTCTTACCGCAGCCTGACAGGCTGTTCCTCTTCCTGCATAGTTTCAGTCACGAGGTCTTTCCTAGTCTGATGATCTGCCCTTAAAATAACTTGTATTTTGAGCAAAAAGATTAGATATAAAGTTATGTAGCTATAATCCATAATTAGCCCCTCTCTCCTCCTCTCCCAAGTAAAAGCCATCTCACATGCCCTCCTGTAGAGCAGTCCAAGGTTGTTTAGCAGCACCAAGCTTCCTTTCCCCAAGGGCTACCACAGCCTTTTTCCACTTTCTTATGAGGAATTAAAGGTCAGGGGCAGCAGCCAACATAGGATCTTCTAGAGACCTTTGCAAAGTAGCAGATGATGAATCTGCTACTTGACATGGAAGCATAAACCTTACTTACTGGGCACTCGCATGGCAACTCTTTAATGAAGATTCCTAAAGAAAAAGAGCACAAGAGAGTTTGCTTTCCTATTTATTGATCTTTAATGGTATATTCATTTGCAGACTTGCCTGGCCAAATCATCGTCAGACCTCAAGGAACCACGACAGTTGTCACCTGGACTCCAGAATACAGTCCAAAATGTTTTGTGGTTGACTGGGGCACCAGTAAAGAAGATATGCACATGAAAATAATACCTGCAACTACTGGAAGCTTCACACTAGGTAACAGGAACAACATATATTAATGTAGGGACCATTTCCTCTACTGAGTATTTTTTGGTTGGAAGGATTTTTATTGTGTTTTTAAGAGCAAACTGAAGATCCAGATAAATACAACTTTCTTTTGCACCAACAGGATACCCAGCTTTTGAACACATCAAAGCAGGTACAAAGAACAGTCTTAGGTAGATTCTTCTGGCTGTATTAGGACAAGAGATGGAAGTAAACTGCTGTTGCCAGGATAAGGTCTCTCCTTCCCCAAATTCCAGAGAGGGATTTATACACTACTGGCCAACACAGCCGCATGAGAATAAAAATGTTTCCCCTGCTCCTAGGTAAACTTTGCTTTAAATACAAACTGCTCTGTTACAGGCTTGCCATTAGATCACTTTTTAACCCTATGTTTGTCCCTGGCACAACACAACAGTTCTCAAATCCAATGTTCTACTTACTAAGTGAAGCACAAAAAGCTGCTGCAGGGATCAGTTTACAGGACAGTCATCCCAAATCATATAGTTGCCTCCAACAAAGAACAGCCAGGATTGGCTTTTCTGTACACATCTAACCTCAGGCTTATACAAGTCAATCTACTGTCTTCCATGGTCCTCCTGCTACATTACATTAGGTTGCAATTTTTTTTTTTTAAATATGCTAGTTGAGAAATATTTACACATAAACTAGCTTATCTACAAATTTCCAGATGAGAATTATAAGCAGATCCAGCATATTTTAAAAGCAAATCAGCATTATGCCTTATGCTACTTTTGAAACTATTTGCAAGAAGAGTCACAAGGAAAGATGCACACATCTTGTACTCCAAGTAGAAAACTGTACTCACAGTAAATCTATACTACGTTTTAAGGATCAGAAAGTAAGAATTACACAGAAAAGCTATCAAGGTATTGTCCCTCCTCCCCTTGCTTCTCACTTTTCAGTAAACATTGATTCAAGTTTATTTGTTTTCCAGACAATATTCAGCCATATAAGTTAAACAAAATAATGCTACATGGATCTGATGCTTGTCACTGTGAAACTTTTGCAAGATATGAAAAGACTTTTGGAGTGGCCCGCTTTTACTCTGTTGAAGGAGGTATTCCTCTCCTTTATACCTTTCCTATCTGCATCCATAAAGAAATCCTACAAGCAGCTTTTTTGTCAAGTGACTTAGCAGTATTTTGCACTTAGCCTTGCCGTTGGTCCTAGCAGTCATGCACTGGCAGAGGGAGTGACCTGGATATTCTTCTTTACTGACAGGCCCACCGAAATGTTATTATTACAAATGATATTATCAAAACAGCAAGAGGTCCCCAAGTTATTAGTTCCCATAGCTCAAATTTGTCTATCACCAAAGTCAGATATTCTGGTTCATATTCAGAGCTGGCTCACACTGGATGCTGAAATTAATTGGGCTGTGTAACTACTGCAGTAAAAGCATCCACAACAAATCACTCACTGTTTCTGCCTACTTTGATATTCCTTAACATCGTGTCGTTCTACTCAGTGGGATTTCTCTTTTGTCTTCCATCCCTTATGCAATATTTACGGATCAGGGAGGATCTCCAGATAGGCAGCTAGGTTTCAGCCTTGTATGTCAGCTGAATAACTATAAATGTAGAACTTACATTATTATCTGTTTTTTTGTTTAAGTTCCTAGAATAGGTCCCACTAACGTGACAATTCTGAATATCACAAAGCATACTGCACTTGTGCGGTGGACTGAAATAGGTGCCGAAGACTGTCTGGGCTTCCTCCAGGGCTACAAAATAAGCTACATAGATTCAGCAAGAACAAAATCTCCAGGTAAGTCACCCTCACACAGAACAAAGCAGTAGCTCAGTCTCAGTGCTGCGACAGAAAAGTTTCATAAGGAGTTGTTAAGGATTTTCAAAACATGCAGTTGGGGGATTTATGGGGCCAAATCAAATTACAGAGTGATGAGAAAACAATTCCTTACAATCTATAACTGTAATATTACAGCAGAATTTCCTAGTAGCTGTGAAACTTGGATATTTCTGAGGCATTAGGATTTCAGTCACAGCACTTGCATCTTTTATTGTAACTTAGCCAAATACCTACCAGATATCTCAAGAGGAGACAGAAGAGTAGTGCCCAGGATCAGGCTTTATTTTTTAACTCTCCCCTAATGGGTCAATCCCAACAGTGACCCAACAGCCAATTGCCATGTTTTCCAGGCAGGAAGAATAATTTTAAATTTTGCTAAAAGGAAGGAAGCCTACAGTAACAGCATCATTTCTGCTTCCATGGAGATCTTACATTCTCAATGGTAAAGCTTGAAAAACAATTTCTGTCATGTCTTAGGTATTCTACAGCACTGCTGGTTGCACTACTACTAGTAGTAGCACTACCAGTAGTAGTAGTGCTGGTTGCACTACTTTTGCACTACTCGCTGCATCATCAGAAAAGAAGGAAAAAAAAACCCTTAAAATCTTTTGCTCATTCCAGGGTCAAATACAGGACTAACATGTACACTAGGATGAATCTAACACAGCAGTAGAGTCTTTTTTGATTTGACCACAGCTTTAGTCAGGTAAAGCTTTCTAAAGAAAATAAAATAAATCAAGAAATGAAATATTGCTCGTTCCCCTCAGTTCCTCCTCCACTCAAACTCAGACATGAGAATTCATCTAAAATTCTTACCCCCAATCCCTCTTGCATTTCAGTTGTTACTGTCAATTCTTCTACTACGCGGTACCTTCTCACTGGACTTCAGGAAAGGACTATCTACCGTGTGCAGGTTTCGGGATTCACCAGTGCTGGAGAAGGACCTGGGACTCTTTCACAGCCTTTCAGGACTCCAAAATATGGTACCATGGAAGCTTGATGCAGCTGTGCTGCCTGGCATCAGTCTTTGCTTTATGCACTGCTTATAACATTTTTTTCTACTCTCCCTTTCCCCTGCTTTGCAGGGAGTATTCACACAGCAGCAGCGTCTATATATCACTGCTTAAGATGCACAGAAGATTTAGTTAAGGCTTCACATCATCAAAATTCTTTTCTGACCATTTTTGTGTTAACTATTTTCACAGATCTTTCTTTGGTGCTGGCACCAGCCACAGCTACCAGCAGTGTAGATTCTGTACCTGGTTACATTCAAGTGCTTCTTGTGCTTCACAAAAGCCGAACGAGAACAGCTTTCCAGTTAGTCACCTACAGCATTAATCACAAATATAACTCAAGTGAAGTGCCCTGAAAACAAAACAAAAATAAGTGCCAAACAGCTGAGACAATAATAGCCACAGGAAAAGTAACCTGTGACATTCAGAGAGAGAGACAGAAGTATACAAATGATTTCTCCCCACTGTAGCTTTTTGCTTTTAAACCTCTTCTTTGCATTAATATAATGGGACAATCAAAGGCATGACGCAGAAAGAAATTAAAATTTCCCCTTGAATTCAACTTAGATCACGTTTCCCATGAAAATCCTATCTGTTGACAAAGAACCCAAAAAATCCAAGGGTTTTCACTGGACCTAATCTGCCAGGCTTATATTCTGCCCACACTACCAAATCTGTGTTAGGTAAGATTCCATTTTTGTGGAAAATAACAAGAACTCAGAGTTAATTTAATACCTACCTTTTTTATTTTTATTTTTTTTTTTAATTCAGGTAACTACATTGAATTTAAAGATCACATTACATTATTCTGGCCTTTCCAATATTTCAAAGGTTACTTAAAAATCCATTTAAAGCACCTCAGACTTCCTCCTATATATTATCCTATATATAATTTTTTTTAAAAAAAGCTTTTTCAACAATAAAGCAGTTAACTTTTTAAGCATCTGAAATGCTTTTAATGGATTAACTGCTTTATTGTTGAAAATTTTTTCAAATACCCTTTAAAGCAAAATTAAGTAGCTGAATTAAAAATATATACTTTTTTTGTTGGAGGGTGTATAGGGAAAGAGCATCAGCATTTTTGCAAACTTTTTCAGTACCAGCAACAGGCTTGTGTACTGACCACATTTTCCTGATGCTATTTTGAAACTTTTGATTTAACTATCTGCAGAGAACACCTCGACTCTGACACATTCTCTGTCATAGATGCTTCAGTTACTGTTTTAGCAATACTAGTCTTGCTGCCTGTTTTTTAAGTACTTCTTCTCCTTCTGTGAGAAAAAAAGGAAAGATCTCTAGGTATTAACGTAAGCAACGGCAGGCAGTATCGGTGTGGGGCAAGGGCTAACTGTGGGTAAGAATATCTCAATGTTCCAAGCAGGTGAAGTAGGCAGGTTACCTACTAAATACAGTCTACATTACTGTTGACAGGACCAGGTCAATTATTAAGAAAAAAAAAAAAAAAAAAAAAAAGAACAAAAAAAAAAGTCAAAGTAATTTAAGTAAATAACTTCATATTGAATAGTTTCTTATAAAGTCAGACCTGCAGCAAACCAAAAGGAGCTTTTGTGGGGAAAGGAGCTTTCATTTACTTCAGCCTTCTATTATGTAGTGCTTTTCTTTAGGTGGAGGATTTAAGAATCAGTATGTACCCAGATATCTTAAAAAACTAAAATCAACCTCAAAACCTCACAGTCCTGCAAAATCCCAAACCTCATTTGAACTAGATTTCATTTCCATGAATCCTAGAACATATATGAAGTTGGACTTTCAATTCTATTTGAAATGCTTCTGTAATGAAAGCACTAGCCCCTCTCCATACTTGGTATCTAAATCTGACTCCATATCCCTGTTTCTCTCCTAACAGGCAAAGGGGAATTCGAAGGTTTTGTGACCGGCCTTTACTTCGGCATGATGATCATTGTGGTTTTTGCACCTCTTACTTGTTCTCTGGTGCTTAAAAGGTAAGAAAGAAATATTGAGTGAATCACTCTTTTTAGTGATAAAGTACCCACACCTCGAAAATTAATGAGTTACACTACTGGGGGCACAAACAAACACCAAAAAAACAGCCTGCAAAGTAACCACTTAATTACTCATTTTCAGATATAAACCAGTACAGTTGCATACAGATGGTCACGTTATTAGTGTCACATCCTGCCTCAGATATCAAAAGGGCAGCTGCTGAGAGGGAAAGCAAACAGGCTATGCAAACTTATACATAGGCAATACATAACTTATTTAGCTTATACACCAAGTTAAACTCCTGCCTTTGCTGTTGAGAAACAAGACATCACTTCACACAAACCTGCTGTTCGCTTTTTTTTCAGATCTTTTTAGATCTTTTACTTTAAGCTGTTCCATGCCTGATTTGGCCTTTCTAAAGGGGCTTTCCTCCTTTTCTTTTTTTTTCTCCTTCTCTGATGAGAATGCCTGACACCTACACAGGCATTTTGCCTCAGAAAGGGCTTTATTTTCTTAAAGATAAGATCGTGCTTAGCCTAGCTCACTAGGAAAGAGCACTGAGATAGCTAGAAAAACAGCAGCCCAAAGCACAGCATAGCACTGCAACATGACGATGACGGTGAATTGCAGGAGTGAGGAATGCCCCCTTACTGAGGGAAGGGATCACCAGGGACACCTCTTCTCAGTTGCTTTGGTTAGATTTGTAAAAAGCGACTCACCAGGCCAGAAAAACACCCATCTTCATAGCAGCAGCAGAGATCAGACAATTTTGTAGCCTCAGGCTTCACCTCAAACCACAACCTAAACAGAGACAAGATATTTCACGTTGAAAGAAGTCTGGGTCTGACTGGAGGCCAGACAGCGCAGCAGCCGGCGCTGCGGCAGGCTGATGTACCAGATAACCTCGGAGCCTCTCACAGCTGCCTTTTTGTCTGCAAAACGAGTCACTGCTGCAGCAGCCGCTTCCCAAGGAGACACGAGGAGCTGGAGGTGCTGGAGCCTTGGCCTCCCCTCCCACAGGAGGTGGCAGTTAGCACTCGGTGCTGACACATATCAGCCCAGGAGGAATTCATCATGGGTGACAGAAGCTTCTTGGGGATCACCTGCTCCCACCCCTTCCCCTCTCTGGCCAGGCCCTGCCAGTGTGGGGAGCCCAGCCGAGGGGGCTGTGGGACCCAGGGGTGTCAGCATGTCCCCTGAGAAGGGCCCAGGAGCACCGTGCTGGAGAAGCAGCACAAAAGAAAAGCCAGTCTGACATTCACACAGAGGTCACCACCAGCATTTCCAGAGCGCACGCCTAGGTCTGCCTTTTGCTCCTCACCTGGCCCTCGCTCAGCAGGGAAGGCGCCTCAGGGAGCTGGCGGGATTGCTGCGGGTGCAGGCCTGCCCTTGGGGGCCGCCACCCACTCTGCTCCAGGCTGCCTTCCCTGACCCGCGCCTGGCGAGGGGGGACGGAGGAGCCCTGTGTGCAGCGGCGGCCCTGGCCCTGGCGGGCAGCCTGCCTGTGGGACGGGCAGCCACCTTGCTGCGGCCGCGTGGTGCCCTCGGCCTTATCCACGCGGCCCTCGGCGGCCACCCTGGCTGCGGTGCCCAGCACATTACTGTGGGGTGTCTTAGGGCTGAGCTCAAGGCACAGCTCGAGAGGAAAGACATGGACGAGTGGCTGAGGCCGATCCGAACCTCTCGGTTCACGAGTGGTGCTCGGCCACGTGCTGGGAGGTTTGAGCGCAAAGGTGGAGGCTCCACCTGAGCTCTGGAGCAATCCCGGGGACTGGGATAGGGGCCATTCGTCCCCGCGGGCTACACTGATCTAGAGCTATTTCGGAAGCAGCGGGTGAAAAGGCATGTTTCAGGTTGATGCTTGCGAAAATATCATTTTGTGCATGAATGGCAGTCAATATAATTTCCTAGGAGATGTCTACCATTTAACTAGACAATAAACTTGGAGTATTTCTTTACAGGGGGAAAACCTGGTGCTGGTCTAGTCTACCAAATCCAGGAGACAGCACTGCAATCCAAGATATGGCAAGTACTGTTCCAATGGTATTAAAAAAAAAAAAAGCTTTTTTCCTAATGATCTAATGATTAATCAGTAATACCAGTTATTATTCTTTTCAGAGAACTCTAGAGCACAAGTTACTCAAAAATAACTTGTAAGAAATACATCAGAGCGTAATGCCACAAAAGTATCAACAAGTGTATGTGGTGCTTTTCCGAAATCCATTCCTCACTCCTCAAAATCTCAGCATACCTCAAATGTTCCAGTTTTTTGGCTGGTAGTTGTGTTGTCTGAAGACGCATGTAACTAGAAGCACCAAAGCTCAGTAGCCTTGTTCTACCCTTAACTTGTGAAAGGAGACCTGTATTTCAGGTCTGAAGTAGTGCCTGGAGTGCAACTTGACTGGAAGTCAAGAGCGTGGTCATAAATGCTGGAAGGTCTCCAGAAAAAGACACTGTCCAAGATCTGAGATAGACAATACCAGAATAAAATCAGTAGCAAGGAAGTTTAAGATGACTCTGACAAGCCAGTCTTCCCTTTCCCTCGCCTTGCCCCTTAAACCTAAATGTAGCTTTTTGCATCAACGGGCTGTGAGCTCACATGTAGAATTAGGCAGTCATTCTGCAAAAGCTAGAAAACATCGAAGAAAAAAGAAGGATCAAGTGGGCAGATGTATACGAGTTCAGAGTTTCAAAAGTCATACTTTTATAGGTTGTAATTTCACTAGATTATTCTTTTAAAGAACTTGATCTGTTTATGAGCACTGAGCAACTTTTAATTCACAGTTCTCAGATTCAGCTGTCTTTCATTGGCCACTGCAGTAAAAGCAACTCCATGTAATTTACTCGGTTCTTCTGAATGCATTTAGAAACTGGGAGATCTAAAGATTCGAAATGTCTTCAAAATGAGACTTCTTCAAAGTGGGGGTGGGAGAAGAAGGTATATTTATCAGAGGCTGCTTCCTTAACTATCCTGGCTTTAATTTAAAATATATTATGGATAAAGCGGGAAGACCCAGCAAAATAACCTAAGCAGAAAAGGAGGATGCATGGCATTGCAAATTATTGTCCATTTTATTATTCAGAATTTGTAAAAACTCATAACCCAATATACACTCAAATCTTGCCTATCTCCTAGCTTTATTCTTCCCTCATTTATTTCAGTAAATTGCCAATTACACTTCAATATGACTTGATATGAAAATTATGATATTGAAATTTTGCTTTTTCCTTGCAGACTAATTGGAAACCCATTTCACGATCACTGCTTCAGGCCCTAACAGAAAATGATACCACCAATGTGTATGTCATAGAGCATGAGTCAAAGGTTCCTTTGAAAGCAGAGCTGTTTACAGATGATGTAGAAGACAACAAGAGTGACACATTCCAGTCAGAAAGACTTAGAAATAACATAGACATAAGCCTAAGGCATGCACAACTCCCCGAAAAAGCTGTTACAAGTGAAAATGAAGGAGTCATTTCCATTACAGTACCACTCCTGAGTGACTACACCAGCATGGAGTTCAGCCAGAAAGCCCTGATGAGTCTGACAGTGAAGCTGCCTGCAAGAGCTGCCCATCCTCATTTGGAAATGGAGCTAAGCAGCAACCCAACAAAAACTGAGCAACATGTTTTGTTTGCTGCTCAGGACTACCTGAAACAAAGCCAGGTAGTATTTATGCCACCTGGACAGCTTTAAGAGGACATGTCAATTTGAACTGAAGTATTTTCATACTTTCCTGTAATATAAAGCAAGTTCCAAAACCTCTGAGACTTGAATAGACACATTAGGATCATACACGACAGTGAGTTTGTGAAAATGGTCATTTTCTACTTCAATAAGCTTCCTAGGTAAAACAGATTAACTGTAAAATTAGTTTAGCTAACAGATCAGATTTCATTTCAGATACTCTGCCAATTCCTACAGTTCACATAGGTAAAACCTGTATGGAAGTATATGAAAAGTCTTCCAGCAAGATACATCTCCTTGCTAATTCCTTTGAATTCGATCAATTGCAGAGAATGTAATAAGCTCAACATGGCCAACTGGTTCAGTTATAGTACTTGCATTTAGGAGACTTCAGTTCCATCCCAGGGCAGTCGGGAAGCTGTTTCAAAGCTTCTGGTTTAAAACCGAACACCGAAGTATTCTTCAAGTCATCAGAAGAGTTCTTTGATCAGCTTTAGATATCTAAGGCTCAATTTTCATATCTGATAAGCTCTTTAGTAAAAATTCTAGATGTCCACCACTCTGAAGAAGCTCCCAGTTCTTCAAAGCTAACCACACAGAAAAGTGAGAAACCCTGATTTTAAGAAGCCCCGAATTTAAGGAGAGAAAACAAAGATGATAACTACCATCATTTTTACAGAATTCCACTTACCTTAAATTACATCTTTTCTTCCTCTGTATATTGCCAGACGGACACAGAAATTCGGAAATAGAGAGTAATGACAGGCACAATTTCACACTGGATTCAAAATGAAATCTGTACAATAGACTTCAAGAACTGAACAGATAATCCCACTTAGGCATTTCCCCTCAAAGCTGGCACAGAGGCGCCCTTGGAATACAGGAGTGAAAAGGGCCTCCATAATATGTTTTCTGTATGATACCATTATGAAATTCCAAAATGCAAGGAGTCTAAGCTAGATTTCCAGTGACTTACAACATGTTCTCTATAGGCACTGTTTATAGTTTATTATCTTCTCCTATAGTTTATCGTCTCCTTTAGTTTTTGAAGCATTTTACTGTAACTATTTTGTAGAAGAAAGTCTAATGCTCATTAAGCTGACATGCTTTAAATTGTCATTAAACTGAAGGTTGATTGGCATTCATACAAATCTTTCAATGCATAGTAGTCATTAGAGAGTTTTTTTCAATCTTATTAACTACCACCTATTATAATAATAATAGAATGTTTACAAATGAAATAGCATATCTATAACCCTTCCTAAAATACTAGGGATTTAGGAGGTACTTTGACAACATGAAAAGCCACTTCCTGCTACAGCAGCACAGTTCAAATACATTTCTTTAGTCAATTAACTGCATGTAAGCAAATACAAACCTCCACCACACACCAGCCTCAATGCCCACAGGTCAGTCAAAGGCACGGGGTAATCTACGTGGCATGTGCTTAGGGCCAGCAGTGAAGCTTTTTCAGACTTGACTAAAAAGGCCCTGTGTAACCCTTACAAAGCGTATCTCCTATTAATGTATAAACAGGTGTATCACATATCAGTGTATTTAGCAGACTGCTGTCTTTGGTACCCTAATGCAACAGCAATGACAACATAAAAACAGCTGTTTTCTGTAGTATGCTTGTAACTAATTCTCTACGGCCCTATGTGTCTAAATATGCAATATTTCAAAATGAGATCTGAAACACTTCTGTGACAGCTCAAAAGGGGGTGCTCTAACATTGAATTTTATATTTCAGTGAAGGCTATTTTAACTTCGGAAGATGATGCTCTTCTCACACTAGCTATCACACCTTTACTTTTTAAAGCTTCAGAACTGACTCATCCTTCCTGTTTCTCTCCTGTAATTCTCTCAACAAGCCTCAAGGAGCTCTGACCTTTCATGGTAACCTCTCTTATAACCGACATGTTTGCAGCAGGAAAAAGCAACATTTCCAAAACAAGGTGCCACTACAGCAAATCCCTGCAAATCTCTAATTTCCAAAGCCTTAAAAAGTGATATATAATAGAATGGTAAATAAAGGGACGGTTCCGTTCCCACTTGTGGATTCAGAGCGTTGTGATGGGTGGGGTGTATTGCCCACAGCCCCAACAGAGACCATCAGCTCACTGCAATACCATGCTCAAGGGTATCAAACCACAGTGGTGAAGCTGAGCCTTGGAATATAAGCCCAGTATCAGCATCCTGTCTAAGCACTTCTACAGCAGCAGGAAATTACAAACCAGTTCCATTCCTCCGTCTTGCATTGCAATTACCCTGCTTCCCACATGCAGTCCTCTTCAACCAGTACTGCCATTAACCTTTCATGATCTTACACATCTGGTCTTCCGCCCCATCTCAAAGTTACCTCAATTCATAGTTCTTAGTACACCCATTCACAGGTTGCCCTACCTGTTAGGAAATCATCAACTAATCATGCCTTCCTATTAGCAACAGCTAACACGGTATAAACCATCCCAGTATCATACCCAGAGATGCTTGACCACCAACTCTATGCATTTGCATCTGGTATGTATACCTGTAAACCAGAAGATTTGATTTAACAGTGGAGCCTGCGTGTTTAGACAGTGGCACATCCATCCGTGCTTCCCTACACATGTGGGAGGCAGGAGAAAGATGCTTGTATAGTTTTTAAAAGCTCCTGAGAGCTATGATCAAAAAAAATGATGAAAGGAATAATTTTTGCTGCTATGATCTTTACAGTTCTCTATACAGAATTCTCTATAAAGATCATAAAGGCTTTTTCTTTTTTTTAAAAAAAAAAAAGAGCATTATACAGAGACCAGAAAATAAGATCATTTCAAAAGGGGGATACTGCTGTTTCCAATTGCTATGGAATATTCTCCAACTGTAGAGGTACTACTGCAATAGAATTTTACACCAGACCAGAAAGTTCCTAAATCAAAGTAGGGCTTTTATCTCTTGTTATGATATACTGAGTTACTACGTTCCCTAGAATTATAAATTACTCTAGGTGAAAATGATCAAAAGGAATCTGATGCCTTAGAACCAAATGAGCTTATGCAATGCTTGCCTACCATCTTTCAGCTAGCACAAAAGCACAGCAAATGCCCATTTCTAATGCACTCAGTGCAGAGCAATGACCCAGATCTAACACTTTCTCCCATTACAAGATTCTGAAGAATATTTTCAATGAGTTAGAAATTCAGCATCGCCCCATTTTGACTGAACAAAGCGAGCACTGTAAATCCTGACAGAAAATTAGAAGAGAATGAAGAGCACAGTGAATGCCTGCATGTCCCACATTATCTGAGAAATGACACTATAAACCAGCTCTCTCAGCCCAAACCATAAATGTCACCTTTCCATCCGCTTTGGAGATTAAGCAACAGAACACATCATTTCTCTAAGGACAGGATCTTTAACTGATCATAGGGGCTTTTATTTCATTTCATAAAGTATCCCTACTCTGCATTATGTTTTATCTCAGGTCCCAGAAATACAGATCATCCTTCAGGCTGACCTGGAACATACTTTAAATGAGCCCAGTGTATTACAAGACACCTGACACCTAGTGTGGACTAGACTAAGCCGACTGGCTGGGATACATATTCTGGCAAGAAAAATGCGCAACTACTAGAGAAACAGAATTTTAACAGCTCAGGAGACATCTAATGGATATCATACATACCATGAACAACATGAGTATCCCTTTAGAAATCGAATGAAGTAAAGGAGCATCCGTGGGAAATGTTAGGTGGATGGCCATAATGCTAAAACAAACCTAATGCAAACAGATAATTAGGCATCTCATGCAGGGTTCACATTGCATGTGGACTGCTGCATTTGCTGTGAATTTCTAAACCAAGTACTCTGAATGAACCCTTCAAGATATTACCTCAAATAGATGTAAAGATTATCTTTAAAAAGAAATTTAACATTTGCAGAGAGAAAAAGAAGAGATGCACAGTCTTCCTCAGGTCTGAAACTAAAGCAGCAAATTTAAAAATAACTGTTACATTTATGCCTGCCTCTTTTCTTAAAACACGCAGGCAAAACAAGCAGGTAAAAATATGATTTTGATTTTAAAAAGACTCTTCTTCAGCTACCAGCTCTAAAAGTATTAGCCTTTTATTTCCACACTTACTGCTTCAGTGAGTCATTACAACAATTATGAAGTATATAATTTAAACAGGAAACATATGATTTGGAACCACTGCTAACTCATCTCAGTATTATTTTTCCCACTTTGACATTCAGAGAAGCAGCATGTTGCAGTGCAGTAATCCAGACCACAGATTTAATGGCTAAATCAATCTGACCACTAAGAGGAGCTAAACCAGCCACAAGATCCATTACAAATGGAACAGCTCGCTCTCTGAGAATTGCATAGTCAGATCCCTACTTACCAACCAAAAGTTTAAAATGTGCTGAGAAGCACAACTCAAATCATTCCTCCTTGGTCATGTCTGACTTTTAGGTCAGACATTTAAGTCCTTACAAGGAATACAGACTAAGAAACCTAAGTGTTGAGTGAATATTAACATGAAAATATCCATGACAATAAATTGACAAGTATTGTCACAAGTGTTGCATAAACTCCTGCTCCTACTAAACAGAAGGAATTTTGACAAACAGCTCCATAGAGCTGAATGCATTAACTTACCGATTAAGAAGACTGCTTAAGAGGACTCTCTCCGTTCAACTACCATAGTAAACAGCATTTCTATGGAGAAGGAACATTTTCAAGGGCCCATGTAGCCTTTTTTTATGATTTATGATATATATAAACATTTGGGACATTATTTATTTACAAAAATATAATAGGAACATAATAGCAGCATTTGAAATTTCTTTACTTGCTTCATTATATCACAAATACACTTTGCCAATGGGGAACAAGTCTGAGTAGATGTTATTAAACTTTAAAGGCCTACTTTACCAAAAATAAGAAATTTTAAGAGCTGTAATAAAGAATATTTTTGTTCCTGTAGTACTTAGGACCTCCAGTTACATCTAAACGCAGATTGCAGTAGGTGCTGTGTTAAACAGATGATTAATGGTCCCTG